ACAACAACAAACAACAAACAACAAACAACAAACAACAAACAACAAACAACAAACAACAAACAACACACAACACACAACAAACAACAAACAACAAACAACAAACAACAAACAACAAACAACAAAAACAACAACAACAACAACAACAACAACAACAACAACAACAAAAACAACAACAAGAACAAGAACAACAAGAACAACAAGAACAAGAACAACAAGAACAACAACAACAGCAGCAGCAACAACAACAACAACAACAACAACAACAACAACAACAACAACAACAAAATCATCATCAACACCAACAACAACACCAACAACAACAACAACAACAACAACAACAACAACAACAACAACAACAACAAGTACAAGTACAAGTATAACTACAACTACTACAACTACTACAACTACTACAACTAAGGATAAGAATAATAATAATAATAACAACAATAACAATAACAAGCACAATAACAAGCTAAACGCTAAACCAAACCTGCTTAGCTGGACGTGACGAGCATCATGGGCCTGATGAGGTTTTACATGGTTTTAGGTGGCCTGGAGTAGAGTTTATCCCTGGATTCAGGAAAACATACGTTTGATTACAGGGTTTTAGGTGGCCGGAGGCGTAGAGTTTACCCCTTGGCTAAGGGTTATATACAATCGATGATAATAAGGATCCTTCTGTAGTTTGAGAAGTTTAAGCCACATTCCCTAAACCCTGTAAACCCTGAACGGTAACTACGGGGTATGAGCTCCCTAGATACAGATTCTCAGGCCGCGTGCGCAGGCTGGTATAGGGGTCTGTGTTTGAGGGGCTTGAAACAAAACTTTAGACTTTTAGGGTTTAGGGTTTCAGGGTTTGGGGTTAGGTTTACATAATGAAAATTAGAGCCTGGGGTTTGAGGCTTGTGGTTGGGGTTTGGTGTTTAGGGCTTCGGGTGCAGGGTTCCGAGCTCCCGGCTTTGTTTGAAGTGTGCAGGTTGGAGTACATGAGGTTGATGGTACGAGCCGGGATTAGCTGCGCCTTAGCTGCCGAGACCAGGCCGAAAAAGCTGGCATCTTCAGCTTTTAAGGGGTTTTAGGGTTTAGGGTTTAGGGGTTTAGGGGTTTAGGGTTTAGGGGAAGCTATACGTATCATCCCTTCACAACCCGAAACCCGAAAAGGATGAAAGTTCACTAACTCAGCCACTGGGGTGCAGCATCGTCAGACTGGCAAGGCTTGTGGATGATGATCTCCTGGAGATGGGTCGACGGCATGCTGGGTTCCGCGTTCAGGGTTTCGGGTCCAAGCCCAGCTTGCAAACGAAATCCTCGTAGCTCTAAACGCGATGCCTTCAACCGCCAACCCTAAACCCACAGCTCGCCCACGACCCCAAAGCCCCTGGAGTCCTACCGAGTCTGAACAACCTTACCTCGACCCTGGCACCTCGACCCCAGCAGTATACCCACTGCGATACCATAAATATCCACTGCTCGGGACTGGGTAACCCAAACTAAGCTCCTGGCTCCGAACCTCAAAACTGCCACTAATCCCTAAACCCTACACCCTAGATCAACAAAACTCCAAACCCCTACATCCTCAAGACCCTAAACCCTAAACTCTCCTTCCCCTAAACCCTAGGCCCTAGGCCATAATAGACCCGAAGCCTACATTGACGAACCCTGTACTCTAAACCCAAAAAACCCTAAACCCTACACCCTCCTCCCTAAACCCAAAACCCGAAGCCCCAAACCCTACCCTAAACCCTAGACCCTCAACCCTCAACCCTAAACCCTAAAACCCAAAACCCGAAGCCCCAAACCCAGGTCGCCTTCCCCTCGTGAATGCCGAAGGCCAAGCAACGCTCGGCATGGCCCGCACCGGCACCGCCGGCCAGAACCACGTGCCGGCCTGGGTTTGGGGTTTAGGGCTTAGGGTTTCGGGTTTAGGGTTTAGGGTTAAGGGTTTAGGGTTTAGGGTTCAGGGTTAAAGGTTTAGGGTTTAGGGTTACGGGTGTAGGGCCGGCCTGGGTTGATAAGGCTCAGGCTATAGAGCTCGGGCCTTGGGACTTAAAGGTTTGGGTTTAGGGTTTAGGGTTCAGGGTTTAAGGCTTAAGGGCTTGGGGCTTCTGAACATCATTCTAAGCCACGAAGAGGTTCCTTACAGGGATCACCTGGGTTCTGCAAGGGTGCTATAATCACGTAGAGTTCAGGGTTCTACGGAATTCCGTGACTCAATCAAAACAAACCCTCTCTCTCAGGGTCGCTAAATATGCGGCAAAGGTGCCAAAGTACCCTACCTGGGGTTATCCTAGCGACAACCCTACTTCCTAAGCCCCCCGATCCTCTAGGCAGGGGCCCTTGCAGATACTACTGGTTATGCTTTAGGCGTCTACGGTACCCTTGGATTGTCAAAGTTGTGCTTGTAACATAACTAACCTACTCCCGCACCCTCAGCGTTGAGGGTCCACGGTTGAGGGGATCGCTGCTGGCGTGTAGGATCAGAATTGAGGCGTTGGGATTCTAGGGATTTGGCACACAGCAATCTTCCACCGTGAGGGAGATCGGGTGGTACTAGTGTTCTTGTGATCACGGTTTATGGTTTAAGGCTTCAGAACCTATCGCTTTTGGTCCATGTTGCTCCGGCTACAGAAGCAGCTTCTGCGTTCGGGCTTCTAGTCTGACTGTTTGCATTGCGGCTGTTTGTTTTGGTGTTCTAGCCGTTGCCTCTTCTGTTCTTACCGATACTCTGCTACCTCTATGTCGAAACTGATATAGTTGTTCTCAGGCTTGGTATTGTTGATACCGCTAACACCATTGAAATGCCTGTTGCAATCTGCGGAATGCTGTCTCTGAATCTGCCAGTACGGTTTACCTGGGATGCCATTCCATTAGGCTCCGTATCTTAGATATACGGTTTAGGGTGTAGGGTTTACGTAGGGTTTCAAAAAAACCCTAACACCTAAACCCTCAACCCGAAATAGTATAGCGTTCCCCGGGGACTTGCGCAAGGAGAGGCGCTTAGTCCTGCAAAGCCTTAGCCTTAGTAGCCTTCCCCCAAAGCCTCAGTATAATTCCTGCACAAATCCTCGGCCCACAGACCCATGCCTTCAGACCCTCAAGCCCAAACCCCTGTTAGGGTTTAGGGTTTAGGGCTTAGCTTCAGATTTAAGACTTCGACTTCGGGTTTGGGCGAGCTGCTCTCTGGATCCGTGTCCGGCCACTGCTCCACCCGCAAGGTTGAAGGGCAGGTGCTGGCATCGGTTTAGGGTTTAGGGCTTAAGGGTTTAAGCAGGATGGTGTTCTATCTAGTCACTAGTCATTGTCTGTACCTTGTGGCGTTTATGAATTACCCGTTTTTTTGTTCCATCTTCATAAACCACTTTCAATTGCGCACCCAGATCCAACCAGATCCGGCCAAACAACTGATGTTGGGATTCCGGTGATATTTATATATTGGTGGCAATTGATTGGGTGCTGCCCCGCCCCATTAACAGTGACCACAAGATGAACCACAACGAAAAGCACAAGAAAATCTGGCAAGTTCATCGATTTTCTAAATCTCCAACAGGACAGTCCCCGTGACCGTGCTTCCCCTTCCTGCAAAGTCGAAATCGGCAGAACGCAAGGCCC